TGCATTGAAGGATAAACGTAACCAACCAATAAGTCATCATGATAAAGAATTTCAACAGTGGAAAGTAGGGAGAAAGCTAACAAAAAAGAAAAAATTGAAAGATTATCTTAAATAAAACTGGTTATTTTATATTATACATCGGAAAATAATGATGACAATACATTGCGTAATTAAATGAGAATTAAAAGGTTAAACTGTAGCAGTGGTATTTCACAACAGAACAACGATCGCCAACCTTCAAATTTCGTAATGAAGCACTTTGACTGTTATAATAATCATAGGATTGTATTGGTAAATTAACTATGTATTCCTTATCGAAACCAGTATCTACTACTGGCCTTATGACAAGCATGATCCCAGCAAACGAATGAATTGAAATATTTAAAGATCCAACATTAACAACTTTTGACCACCTGTGATGTAAAAACAGTCCAGTGTAACTGGTGATGAGTATCTTACTCAAAATATAGTTGAACTCCATTGGTATCATGTGTTTTAACAATCGACTGCGAGACTAAGTACCATGATTATTATTATCATTATTTAAACAGCTGGCTTGTGGAAACTTTAAACCATCTGGAGAACCAGGGAGCACTGAAAAGTTGTTTCCAGTCTATTTGGGATTGACAATTGGGCACCAATGACTCGAAAACAAGACAAAAACCTAGAACCTTAATCTAATGTGGTAAGACACTTTAGGACTACAACTGCGTTGTGGAAATCCAATGATATACATTTTTGACTTCAATTAGTTTGTGATATCTAATACGAACGAAATGAAACTGTGAAAATGATGAAAGGATAACGTTGTTCTGAACCACGTTTGGTTAAAACAACTATCCTCCCAAATGGGTAAGGTATGTCAAATTTCGCACCAATCAGAAGCAAAAAACAGGAACCAAATCTAAACACGTCGTTATGTTTGCAGGTTATTATCAGAACAAATTAAACAACAATGGAATGAGTTATGAATAAATATTGTCAGCTAATTTTTTTCATTCTTATTCATTATTATTAGTAGTGGTAGTGGTATTGGTATTACATTATATCATCCGAAAGTGGTTTTAAAAAATATTATGCAGATATAGAAATAATACATTTTTGAATAATTCAACGAATTATAAAACCAAGTAGTATAACTTTGTGTACTCGGATGTTGTTGTATCATCACAAGAACAATTAAAGTATTGGGTTTTCCAGTTGGCCTAAGGCGAATTCAAACTACGAACGACTAAGGATTCTTTGAATACGATGCAAGGTACAGGAACTCGAACTGATCAGAAATTTGTCATACAACAATTCAACGTTAATACTCCACACGCTAATACAGATACAGAAGATTCTCAGGGTAATTTTATATTCTGTAAAGAAGCCAAATTGAAAAAAGAACAGCTCTGTTTTTATGGTATCAACCATTGACCTTGCAGTACATAATAGTAGCAGATCAAAAGCGATGACAAACAATCATGTAACAGTAAATGAGATTTCAGAAATACGAACTATGAAAATGTCACTGAAGTTATTCTTTAAAGAACTAACATATAGTAACAAACTCAACTAGATAACCCTGATTTCCCTCCTATTAACAGATATGAACAGTGTCCATAATAATGCATACATTATAAGCCAATGAATTCGAAGTAACTCGAGTTGTTTGCTTAAATCCCTGTATCTACCGAAGAGCACTTTTTTAAAATATTAAACTGAAGTTATTGATAGGTGTGAAAAAATCAATAACAGCTGTGTTGTTTACAGGATATTCTTTTAAAATGTTAACTGTCCTATCAACAACAAATAACCTAGAAAATACAAATGACTTTATGAAACTCTCCTTGTATAAGAAAACTGATATGACGAGATAAAGAAAGATGATATTATTTAGGTTCATATTTTTTGAATCAATTCAAGAAAAGCTTCTGCCGGGGAGACAAATGTGAACTTTGTTTAATGTGATACTTTAAGATTAATATTTTTGGAATCAAGTCAGTACAAATTGTACTCAATATGACAAGAGAATGAACTTTGACTCGGTGTGACAAGTACATTTCCTGTATTAATTCAGGTGAACTATATTCATTGTATGTTTTTACAGTAACTCTATGTAATTCCTTTCTATTGTGTGTAAAAATGGTAGTATTTCGGTCTAATGACAATGTGATTTAAAGAGTTCTTTGGGAATGTGTTTTTTAGAGAGTGAATAAATCTTTATTGCATTAGCCTTGTGTTCTTACTTTGTGTTGTGAGAATCGCAGTGGTTCTTGAGGCAATATATTAGATATGACAAAATGCGTGTCTAGTGACAAGGTAACAATTATTATTATTATTATTATTATTATTATTATTATTATTATTATTATTATTATTATAACGACGGTAATAATAGTGATGATAATGATAATAATAAATATGGTAATAATAATAATAATAATAATAATAGTGATGATAATATGTGCAGGTTTTTATCTCTGACTGAATCCGTCAAGGAAACCCTGCTAAGTAAAAAAACAACGACGTTCCTCTACTAATTAAACTACCGAAATGAATGTACATGAAATAGATCGCCAAGATAGTATGATGATGTAAGTGCATTTTCGTGCGTGTGACATCGTAAGATCGGCATTAGTGAAAGTTAAAGATAGGTTCCCAAAAGAAGAACAAAAAATTATTGTCTATGAAATCAACTGTCATGGTTGTAATTCAGCTTATATCGGAAAAACATCCGGACAATTGAATGTGAAGTTAAAGGAACACAAACAGTTTTAGAAAAATGTTACCAAATCCTTGGTTGACCTAAAGAAACTTGAGAATAAGTTTGCGATAGCGTTACATGCGTTAGAAACAGGACATAAAATTAATTTTGAAGGGAACAAAATACTTCAGAAAGGTTTTAACACTCATAAAGAAAGACTGACAACAAAAGCGCTGTATATACGGGTGAACAAGAACAGTCCGAACTGAAAGGATGTTATTCAACTAGCGACTACTTGTTAAATATTCGTTGACAAGTAATTGAACCCATTATTTATTCAACCTCATATGCATCGTTATTTTGACTGAAATTAATGTGGGTTATTTTAAGCAACACAATAATGTATTTGATGATTCTCATTTTTACTTGCACATCGGTTATTCAGAAGCAATTTTTGCAACCTTCAACTTGTACTTTTATTTTTCCTTCATATAAAAACGTATTAATACCGAATATCATTCATTAATAACTCAATCTTACACATACATACATAGACACACAACTTGTTCAGTCATTTTCACACGCTTCCCATGTAACTGACTCATCCAGTCGCCGCCTGTCGGGTTCCGGCAGGCGAATGGCTTTCAGTTTATTGCCCCCAAATGCCCTGGTACGGCCGAGAGTGGGGAGAGTCCGCTCTCCCTCCCCGAATGCTCTCACATGACCACGCGAATATAGCCTCTGCTAGTCCTACTCACTGTCGCCTACGAAATTGAGAGGACGAAAAGCGAAACTCCGGCGCTTTAACCGGGTTGGTGTACATGGAGAGTCCAACTAGGGGAGTTGGAAAACCCTCATTCCAAACCAATGGTGCACATGGGCTCCAGTATCCTAAAGGAACAAATGGCGTACGAACCAATCATTGGTCACCGGATACCATGCGACTGCATCTCCTTACGATGCTCCACTGCCTTGTGGATCAGACCTTCAGGTCAAAGGCTCCAGGTGTGGCCCCCTAAGAAAACCACCTGCTTCGGTTTGGGCACCCGAGCAGTATCACAGCCCTCACACAAATCAAATGAGATTTGTGTGGCGCATATGTATTTGGTGCCCCCTTGTACCAGTTATTTATGTGTTTAAATAAATACTAAAATCAACACTCAAATATGATTGGATTAACACAGTATAGATTTGATCTGATTTTGATTGTTAAAAAGTCATATACTTCTTCGATGATGTTGATGATTACTCTGAAGAATTCCAAGCAAGTTTGCTGGACGAAACTTTGAAATCATTCAAATTTCAATCACTGAGATTATTTCAAATATGATTATGATGATTTATCTAAATATTTTGGAAAATTATCACAACTAATAGTAAACAATAATATTGGAACATATTAAAAAAAAGGAAATTCTCAGTAAACTCTAGAGGAAATTATCACATTACAAAGTTATTACATTTAACTGTGTGCTTTTTCCCAACAATCAGTTTACATATAATAAAATGAAAAGTTTATTTCTATCAACAACAACAACAAAAAAACTAACCAGCAATTTTGTCACGTCCATTATTGTTTCCATGATCAATATCATAAGTTTTACTATGTGGTGTAGTTTTAAAGTAACTTGACGGTAGACAATGAGTTAAAATATGACTTGCTGATTCACAAGGAGTTAATTCAATATTGGAAGTATGACCATATCGTGATTTCTTATGATTTGATGAAGTAACAGGTGATGTTGAATTCTTTAAATGTAATAATTTATTCTGTGGAGTTTTAAAACTATTCATACTATCATTATCATTACTAATATTATCGCCATAAACTAATGATGTTCCAAGTATACGAGGTGAACCATATGCACAATTATTCATAGGTCTATCTGTTCCAGTACGCATACAGTAAATTTCTAATTGAAATACAAAATCTGGTCTAACTGGTACAATCTGTAAAGAAAGGATGATAATGAAAGGAACAATGAGAACTGAACAAATGATTTTGCACAAAGATAACAATAAAATATACATGTAATTTACGCGAAATTCATATTATGCATATATCGAGGATTCACTAAGTTTCAAGCGGAAAAGTTTAAAAAGTTGAGGAGTTCAATTTCGAATGATTTAAAAGAGCTAATAAATATGTTTAGTTTTTGTTTCATATCTCCGTCGTATATAACACGGTACACTGAAACTGCTCTACACTGTTCATTAGTTACATTAGTTTCGACAAGCCAATTACCAATAGGGTTTCAGCTTGAATGACATATCATTAATAGCACCCTAAAATGTATTCGCAACTTCTTAACCAATAATAAGTATGATATGATACTGTCTATTCTCTATTTGTAAGAAATAGGTTTCATAACTATATTTCAGCCGTTTCATTACATTTCAGTTATTTAATCCACAGTATTTGATGGAGCATCATGGAACCATTAAGTAGCCAATGATGACATTTGAAGTCAATTTTAATTAAACATGTTGTTTAACAGCACAGAAACTATGTACTGACCTCTAGCTTTGCCGGCAAATCTACATAAGGAGCAGGTCGGTACATTCCCACAGGTAAGTCGCTCACATGCATTAAGGTAACTAGTTCACTATGATACAACCGACCTTCACCGCGGCATCTAAAATACAAATATAAACGAAGCGTTAAAATACTTGTAGTAAATACATTGAATAATTACAACTAATTCTTAATTAATTATCAGAAAATACAGAAGAAATATTGCAAATAGGTTTTAAATGTCATATTATTTGTGACAATTAGAGATACAATATACTGTTACTTAGACTAGTAGACACATGGTAACTTGGCTAACAGAATTCAGTCATTACTAAAAGAGCAAAACGAACATACTGATTACTATTCACTGGTTAATTAATTTATATATCTCAGCCATACAGTTGTGACCCGAATAATGTAATGGTAACGTCACAGATGGTGAAACTAGGTGGGTCGGGTTCGAACCCACCAATAAGCATCAGTTTCATCAAAATCACAGGTAAGCCTTGCTGACGAGTGTCGGCGAGCACGAAACCTAGGTTTAGGGTTTGTTGCAAACACTGCCTACAACCATCTAGTAGAGGTAAAATAATTACCCTTACCAGAATAGGGGGATTTGTGGAGATAGTGGAATTTTCACAGTTTATATCACAAACTGATCTTAGTTAGACCAACAGTGTAAACCTGGAAGCATTGGATGGTTGTTTCGTCCGAGAAGGAGACATAGCAGTGATTGTCATACGAGATAGACAACTACTAAACATTGTGTAACCTACATCCCAAGATGTGTTACATACTAACCGATTCACATTAGAACTACAAATAAATACAATTAAGATGCTACACACTACTAACGAAAATAATAATAATAAACAATGAACGGATCTTACTTTATAATACCAATTAAATGATAACATGTCGGTTGGCCTAATTGATTGTCAGGACGAGATTTTAAAGTAGGAACATTCCAACCACCAGCTTCTCGTCCAGTACCAACAACAACATAGCCACCTCCACTTGTAGGATCATTCGGTATATTAGATGTTTTAAGAGATAAACGAATAGCGTTTAGTTTCATACGAGCACGTATAGGATCACCGCGTGTAGGTGGTACAAGAACTGGAGAGCCTCTATGCAATAATGCAAGTTCTTCCATTAATACTTGACGACGCTGACCTATAAGTAAATAGATAGGAAATCATGTTGAATTTAAGATGTTTAATCTAACTCATTCATCAGGTACTTGGATATTAATTAAATGATACCACCTAGTTGCCAAAACTTAAGTGGAGCGGTGTTCGAACATGGAGTATAGTATAGTATAGTATAGTATAGTATAGTATAGTATAGTATAGTATAGTATAGTATAGTATAGTATAGTATATAGAAAGCAGTTATAAAAATCTTACAAGCTATCAGCATCGTTCTGCTAGCTTCTACATGAACCCGAGAACCTGGACCCAATTCACGTATTCTGTCAAAGTCTTCAGGACTTTTACGAAAAGGAATACTGACACACTGTTGTAGTGCTGCACTGGCCTGTAAAATAACTACACGTTCTGCTTGTATCAATTTTGGTAAGTCATTCAATCTTCGAATACGTCGTTCAGCCTCGGATAGTGGTAGAACTGGAGATATACGGTTATTAACTAAGAAAAAAAGAAAATGTGTTAGAAATAACGCTACCATAGAGATATGTTGAAAATACAACGAAACCATCTTACGAAAATACATTAAACGAAGTCAACCAGTTGGCCATACGTAATGAAAAAAACGGGTACATGTGTATGTTGGTTGAAGTTGTGAGATGAAATTGTCAAAACGAATCAAATAGTAGAGGTAATAACAGTGCTAATGGTAATAGGAAAGATTAGGTAACGAAGATACGGTTCGAAAAAAGGATTAGTGGAATAAATAAACAATTTATGAATCCGTTTGGAAACTTGAGATCTAAGAGAAGACAAAAATGGATGTGCCTGAATCATTGCAAAGGACTTCGAACCATGTTACCTAAAGTCTCTAACCAATAGTCAAATACACCGAAATCAAGTAATCTACACCTATTAACATAGATAGGTCCAACAGTCAATGGATTTCAAAGAGAGCAAAAACAAAAATTGGTGGTCAATGTATTCATTGACTGATGCCATATTTTAATTTGGCCACCCCTGATTTCCAATTTACTCCTACACTACCCATCATTCTATATCGAAGTAGGTTGTGGTGAATAAGAATAAGTAATAAATGTTCCGACCATCTCAGTTGATATAAATTCACTACCTCATCAATCGACTTATCATCCGTACCTGACACTGCATCTTACCTCAGAATTGATAACTCGATGGTTACAATATATACAAGCAATGTTTTGAGTGAATCTATCAAGCAAAGTTCGGAAAAATGAAGGAAATAAGATAACTATTTGATGTTGAATGGGATATATTCGGGTGCTTGTGAAGTAAACACTTCCTATATCAGGATTCCAAGATATTCCTTAATTGCACCAGAGTATCTTTTATTAACCACCAAGAGATCAATTTTCTTACTTCTCCCATTATTTTATTTTATTTTGAAATAATTGACCATTTGAAATTAATTTTCGGAGAAATTTTAGTAAGACAACGGGGGTATTTTACGAAAACCAATTTCATTTACCATGTCTGGTTGCTCAGTTCTATTAATAATCTGAAAAAATATTGAGGTGGTGTCCACTGAGCAAATAATTCGTAAGATAACAGTTCGAAGATTTTTCGGAAAAAAAGTAACTGGATGCCAACTATCATGATAAGCAGTCCTCAAATTATCGTTATATGTCATTTCAGAGAATCCATTATTGCTGAATTATATTTTACAATAACATCAACTACCATATATCTCTATGATTCAATAACTAGATATGACAGAGCAACACAGTTAGTGTAATATACTCGGTCTGACAGCTTGGATCGATGCACATATGTACTACGTACTACATTAGCTGTGACAAGTCGACAGAACTGTTGAATATCAGAGGCTACCAAAACCCACCCATCTGTCCCCGGTCATTCCCTATATATATAGTAGAACGATGAGTTGAATCAAAAAGCCGATGATGACCACTGATGACCAACATTGACTCGATCCCAATAGGGTAGAATATATAATAATATACGTTAAGACGACTCACTTTATATAAAACTAACGACACCATTAATCCCATCAAACTAATTAATAATAACCTGTATGTCATACAGAAACCTTAACTGAAAAACAGTTAAATTCTGAACTCCATGCAAAAGTAGTGCACGTCCAATCTCACATTTATGCTTAGTCTTAACACTCATCCTAGTTTTTTTTCCTTTGTTCATTTTATCCAGCATTCAATTGCTATTACCCCGCCATCTAAATTGTCAATACCACTTCCAATTTTTTCCATTTCTAGCAACTGGTCCAATTATCTCTCTCATAGTTGTCTGAACCGTAAAAATAATGAAAGCTTAATGATCGGAAGGAATAAATTAATAAATATGAAACATTGTAAGAGTCTAATAATAACTGGTTACGGATTAAGAAAAAATTAGGACACAGTAAAAAGAATATAATAAAGAACGAAACCGAAATATACTGAAAGGGATGTTAGGGCTACAGAAGAATGAGAGAGATTGAACGTATTGTTTTTGCATGCAGGGTTCAGGCTTGAATAGGTGAACTGCCAATGTTTCAACAGTTCACACGTTTTTGATTCATTCATTTGACTATTTAAATAAATTAGGACGATTCAGGTGGAATAACGTTACCAGAGTTAATGAGATGCTCCTGTATTGGGTTGTACCGATCGTTTTGTATTCTCCGTTTAAAATCCGAGCCAGGTAATGCTCTGAGATGTGTTCACTTTTTGAGTGACTAATGTAACCTGGACCTGCAAGAGCAGGTAAAAAATGATGAAATCTATCTTGCCCTTCTGTGGCCGTAATATACCTGCCAGTATATTTTCTGTGTTTTTATCATAGTATCTCACATTTTAATCCGAAATAAAAAGATCGTTATTTAAAAAAAGAATAAATTACTTATTAGTGTATGGGGGTGTGGAAATTGTCGAGTTTTCATAGTTTTAATCACAAACTAATCAAAGCCAAACTACCACTGAAAACCTAGAAGCACTGGACAGTCGTTTCGTTTTAGTAAATGACTTATTAGCTGTATTCGATTCCCAGATGAGGGGGTTGTGAATGCTCACACTGCTGAGTCCCCAAATGGGACGAAACACGTTCAGTCCTTACGGGTTTCCGATGGTGGTTTTGATAAGATCAATTCGTGATTTAAACTATGAAAATAAACTACTTAGTTAAAAAGCTTAGTAATTCGAAGAAACAAATAAGCATAAAACACAACGGGTAAAATTATATCACAACTCACTCAATAAATCGCTATCATCTTTTGAAAAATATGGTTGATGATAACGATGATCAGGATGATTCTCTTTATTATTACTTTGATCTTGTGAAGATAAACTGGATAATTCATTATTTAATTCATCACTTGGAATTATAGTATCCAAAAAATCAGACAACTCAGAATCACCAACGCCTGGAAAATATGGAAACAGATTGTTGAGAAAATATGCGCTCTGCTGCTTTATCATCATTTATTTTACTCAGATTTGTGTTCACAAGTTGTATTGTACACAAGGCCTATATTTATTTCCCATCTCATTTGTCACGCCGTACCTCTCTTATTTGTGCGGCGTTACCAGCCCTGAGGTTAATCAAGCCTCACTAAGTAATCACGTCAAGTCTAAATTTCAACCAAGGGATCAAACTTTTAATACAGTAATTAACAATTCTATCAACTCATAAGATATTTTTAACCACAAAAGTAGAGATTGAGATGGCATGAGAATGATGAAGTCAAATTCATCAATTATTAGACTATGTAAACGGTTGAATAATACGATTAACAATGTATTCAGACCAAAGAAAAAAGTGACCTCAAAATTATTAAATTATGCTGCACAAGCATTTGACTATTTGTAAACTAAACTAAATAAATGACTAGATAACTATGCAGTTTCTAAAACTAAACTGAGGCCTAGTAGGTACAGTAGAGTTCAAAATACATCGTGACTCATTTGTCAGAAATCAACGGCTTAAATCACTAAACTTCAGATTGATTACGGGTTCCAATAAATTTTGCTCTCTGCGATCTAAGCACACGGACAATATTGTCAATATTTATACAAAAACTTTTAGAAAATGACATCAATTATGATGTATCAGCATAATAATGATTTGCTTACTTTCGGAATCCATTTTTTGTGTTATTTTATCCCCATGTTTTTCTCGTTCTGGTAAATATTCATATTGACTGGAAAACTCTGAAGATGTTGGACAATCTTCATCATCATCATAGTTGAAGTCAGTTTCACTTTCATCTGTAATATCAGAAGTGGCCCTTTGAAATGTGACTGATCTTTGTCTCGGAATAATTTGATGGAAGGTATCAACTGAGCTTTCCGAAAATGATGATCGACGTTTAACACCAATTTTAGGACGTGAATAATAGGGATGTGCAATGGCTGTCACAAAATGAAATAAAGTGGGATTTTAGAGCCTTATTAGTGAGAAAGTTAACAGTTTAACTGATAGATGGATAAGAATCATCTGGGATCAGACACATATAGTATATAATCTTATACAAATGAACGATTCAAGTTTCCTGACTTTACATCAATACAAAAGGAGATTGATCAGCCAAGAACGATTAACTCCGATAGTAGTGGTAAACAGAATACTAAAAAATGTTTATGAACTAGAAAACGATGAAAGATGGATTGGACTGAATTATTGTCATCTATATCCTTTAGCACTGGCAATAACTAGTTTTCTTAACCCTGAGAGCCTCACTCTAATGGACCATACTTCGCATATGACTCCGAATAATAGAAAATAACTTAATAGTATAATTCCACATCATGATGTGATTATGTTTAACCTTTGTAAAACCGTTTCTAATAGAGAGAGTCGAAGAAATGATTCCTAGAAATAAGTTCACTTATCAGATCACTGAGCTAAGACCATGCGTAATACCTGTTCTTTGCAGTATAATTTCTGCAACGGTTTCTAAACTGAGATTAAAGAAGCTACCTATATTTCCTCCTCCTGCTTTGAATTTGCTTAACCTCGTCCGCCGGCTTGCCTTGTAATGCAAATACTGGGATTGATCTCCTCCAAGGAGATTCAGTTGTTAATTTATAACACGCAGATGATATAATCCTGTATAGCGAAAACATTAGAAAAATGAAATCTCCTAACCCACTTAGGAAACAGTGCAAACATGTTTTAAGATAGGTTTTACTCTAAAACCAAAATGTTGATTTGGAACTGGTCTGTGTCAACCTCTAAGCTAACTATAAAGAATTGAGTAGTTAAAAGTCGGTTACTTTACCTATCTTGGAAGTCTTATCAGCCAAGATGGGTCGGCGTTTGACGAAATCTCGACACGAACTTGGAAAGCAAGTTTAGTTTTCGCCATCTTGGATCACTTTTGGCCTACGTAAGATGTCTGTGTCTACCAACCAAAGGACGAACATACTATGCAGCAGTCCTCTACATTCTACTTTATTTGTGAAACGAGCTCTTTAAAGATAGATATTGGTAGGTTATTAATACTCAATTATAAATGCGTTCAAATTATTCCCCATATATGTTGAAACCATCCAGTTGATAATTTTGAGATTAGATGGAAGATACCGGGTAAAGATGGAAAATCGGTTGATGAAATAATAATTCTTTATCAACTGGGATGGCTATAACATGTATTACATGTGCCCATCCACCGCCTACCTTGATGGGCGATGATGATGGGTAGCCACATAATTCGAAGTGAAGTAGAGTCTAAGCTTGTGTTGAATTGATTGAAAGTGTGTGTAATTTAGTAAGCGACAACTTTACGTTAGCTTTTAATTCTACAATCTTATCATAGTATTTCTCGAAATTAATAGGGAAAACGTTAGTTCATAATTATAATAAAACTATTACTTATACTTGTAATAATTATCAGTTTTGTGTAATATACTGATAAATGAGGCATATTCACTAATAAAGCAAATAGCACACAGCTACCATCTTACATGAAATCTAGTAAATAGCCACACGTGGATTTTATCTGTGTACAATAACCATGACCTTTAAACAGACGTTTGAATGTTTAGTAGAACATCATTCGTAATTCGAATCAGGATTTCAGTAAAGACCTCAATAGGAGAGACAAATGATGTGAAGTTGAAATTTTCAACACAACGAAAGACCGTTTTGATTCTATAAATAAAATTAATAAGGAAAAGTGGGAGATACTTGGTCGCAACAAGGGCTATTATGTCTAGTGAAAGTATGAGGAAGATAAATAGGTTATGAAGATTGATTTACACTTTTTAAGTTACTATTCCGAATTGGACCTAATTGCTACAGCCTGAACGAATTTCGCTTATTTACTATATTCACGTTTACGCAGTAGACTTTGAGTTAAACCATTTGTGAAGACTAATGGTACTACCCGTATTTTAAAACAGAAAGGAGTGAATTGGAGTTCGTACTTGTGATATACCAGTTAAAAGTCAAATACTTAAACTCCTATGCCACAACCCCACAGAAACTGATCACAACTCTGTGTATGGACGTGTACATAACTTCAGTTATATCATCACATAACAGTTGGATAATCCAACAAATTTATTTGAACAGAAACAAAGATTTGATCTAAACACGATTTTATCAATAAAAAAATTTGAAATTACTTGGAGTTGTTGATACGGTTGTTTGCATAACTTCTTCCAACTCTGTTTGATTTACATTCGTTGAATTGACATTATGAATATTTGGAGATTGTGTATTACTGATGAAAGTGTTGCTGCTTGAAGAATTAGCTTCATCAAGTCCCATATCCTAATATCAATGAAATACGATAGAATATTGCATGAAAAAAAATTAATTTAATTTATATTTCACATTATTCAATCCAGAAGATCGTTATATTCGCAATATTCGATTACTTAAAAAGGGAAAATACACATTGAATATATTTTTGTTCCGTAAAATCGTACAATAAAGTAATTCATTTACTAAACACATATTTATGAACTTGGCTTTGAGTCACATCATTTGTGCGATACTACTTGACAGTTCAAATTAAAGTACGTGAATTGAAGTAACAACTTGAGTTTATTAAATTCAACCAAGTATATATATGAATAACTCTTTAGTTGAATCCTTATCTAAAAGGAAGTTTGTTAAATAGCTATCAGTAGTTATATATCTTTTATTGGGATATTTGCCCACAGAAAATGGTAGAATATATTGCAAAAAGTAATTGATTTAGGAATGACTGTACCAATATGTCAAATAATTCACTCAATTTACAAAGTCCTGCTAAAATTTATGGAAATGATGAAGTTTGGACTAGAAACGTAGTATGAATGGATTTTTTCTCAACGTCTTATGAGTTTTCACTCATTTTCCTTCATCAAATCATTAATGTTATGTAATTTGAGTAGCCCACCGCTTTTGTCGATTTCCTCTTTGTCCACCATTGTGAAGTGTATCAATCCTGTTCAATTGTTTACATCTGCTTATTGTAAAAGAGTGAAAGCATAAAGATTAGTTGGAAGTACTTAATAGGTTGTTAATTACAAACTCAGTCCTACCCAAAATAAAAACGTAAACATAGAAATGCGTCACAAAGTAACTGACAACGTGAATAAAGCGATCTTACATATACCTTTGGAGGACTGGGATGCGGGACAGTAGCATCATCACACATTACAACTTCCGTTAAAACAGGCTGACAGTTGTCGCAGGGAGTACCGCGGGGCGAAGTAACTAGTGGGTTCTCAATTGCCGAAATATTCGGGGGTGATGGAGGGGATGGTAACAAGAAATCATCCTCCTGTAAAAGAGAAAGCGCTGGAGTTGTTATTGTGGAGACAAATCAAAATGAAAAATGTTGCCAAGTATATAGGAGCAACAGTCCTTTTTAATGCTTATAATAACTTCTCTCAAAATTCGTACATTTTTCTTATCAATAAAAAAGCAAAACTATTGACTGTCATTAGAACTATCGGTTCACATACTTCACCTTTGTAGCGCAGACAAATCTCGGTTTGATAAAACCAAGCGAGTCCTATTTATGTGTTCATGGAGAACAACTCACTATTGCTGTCAAACTAAGGAGGTAGATAAAACGGTAGATTCCCTTAATTATTTTGATCCATACCGTTAAACTAAACAATGATAAAGATCAAACCTAAAATGCCACTTCGTGTTTTAAAATGGGATGAACGGACCAGATTTAAACATTAGTACGCTCCCGATCAATGTGTTTGAACTTTGTTTTGCCACCATCTTCGATAAGTAAAACTACATCTCCATAATCAAAGTCAATGAGAAATACATTAAATAAGTTCCTGAGGAGTTGGGCATAGTGTTACTCGTAGAAGTACAAACATGAGTTTGAATCGAAATGGGGAAGGTAAACAACTTTAACAAACACCATTTGGAGAAAGTGAGCAATGTGTATGCTAACAATAAATTAATTTTACTGTTTTAAAATGTAAAAATTTCAGAAGTCTGTTTTAAATTATGCGTCAATTTACAAAGAATATGCAGTAAATGGATCAGATTTGTATCAAAGTGTTGATGCGAAGCTACATATCACTAATTTAAAATACGAATTGTGCTCACAAACCTGTCTTGAAACAAAACTGGATGAAACTTTTTCCGGTTCTAAATCATGAGGGTCTGCAGAAGATACTGAACCTAAATTAGGAGTTGGTATAACTGGTCGACGGGATCGGCGTAATTCAGCCAGCTCTCGCATTCGCTCAAGCCTTTCTCTCTCAGCATGACTTAAACTTCCCCTGGGGACGTCAGCCTTGGTACACGTGACAGAAGTAAGGACTTTTTCTCTAGTACCCTGACCTGATTGGATTTTGGGTGCCACAGATTGTTGAATTAATGAAGGCTAGAAGAATAAGTAAGGAAAAATATCAATTAGAAAACACAATAATTTGTATAGAAACGTTTGATGGATGTTGGCTATTTCAGTGAACAAATTCATAGAAAAAATAGAACAAACCAAAAGTCTTGAACAATCTGCTCTGTGTATTTTGGAACAAACAACTGTTACACACTAACCACTTCGCATAATACAGAAAAAACTTGCAAAAAACTGGCGACCATAGGTAGGTCCATAATAGTAAGTATTACTAAGGCAATTTATAAAAATAAATTGATAGATGACGCCCAAGCAAAGGGATGAACGCCCTAAAAGTTACAAATTGCCCAGTGGTCTAATGATTTAGAGGTTCAGCCTTCATTCACTGGATCGTGAACTTTGAACCCTTTCAAAATGTCTCAACTGGACAACCAATAGTTTTGTGGAGTGATAACAGGTTTCAACACGACAATCACTAGCCTTGTCCTAACCTAATATATGTGAAGTAGAACAAACTCGAGAGAACCAAGCTGGCTTTAGACCTGGTCGTGGCTGCATCGACCACATATTCACCATTCGTCAGGTTCTAGAACACAGGCATACCTATCGGCGTCCGACGATGGTGGTATTTCTTGACTTAAAAGCAGCATTTGACTCGGTAGACCGCGAGACTCTGTGGCAGTGTCTGTCATTGAAAGGCGTACCTCAGAAGTACATAAACCTTGTAAAGGCTCTTTACTCGAACACTACTAGTCGAGTCAGGGCTTATGGCGAACTGTCATCTACTTTTGCAACCTCAAGTGGTGTCCGTCAAGGCTGTCCACTTTCTCCATTTCTGTTTAACTTCATCATAGACCTATTGATGGAAATAACACTCTCGTCGACTGAATTCTCGGGTATTGATCTCCTTCCAGGAGGTCCACTTATCGACTTAGAATACGCAGATGACATATTCCTGTTTGGTGAAGACGCTGACAAAATGCAGAGTCTTCTGGTAGCACTAAGCAACAATGCCAGAATGTTTGGGATGCGCTTCTCTCCCTCTAAATGCAAGTTGTTGCTTCAGGACTGGTCTGGGTCAACACCTGAACTAAGGATAGGGAGTGAAGTAGTTGAACGCGTTGACAACTTCACTTATCTTGGAAGTGTGATCAGCCTTAATGGGTTGGTGTCTGACGAAATCTCAGCACGGATTCGAAAAGCTCGTTTGGCTTTTGCCAACTTACGTCACCTTTGGCGAAGGCGAGATATCCGTCTATCAATAAAAGGACGAGTATACTGCGCGGCAGTTCGTTCTGTTTTAATTTACGGCAGCGAAACATGGCCCTTAAGAGTAGAAGACACCCGTAAGTTACTAGTATTTGACCACAGATACCTTAGAAATATTGCTGACATCTGCTGGGATCACCGGGTAAGTAATAGTGAGGTTAGACGCAGGGTATTAGGGAATGATGGTAAATCAGTTGATGAGGTTATGAATCTTCATCGACTGAGATGGTTGGGCCACGTATTACGTATGCCTGAACACCGATTACCACGACGTGCAATGCTAACCGGGGTAGGGGATGGTTGGAAGAAAGTTAGGGGCTGCCAAACCAAAACGTGGCATCAGTGCCTGAAGTCACTAACTTCTAGTCTGAGCCATGTTGGTAGATGCAGACTACTTGGTTGGGGTCCGCGTGACTTTCATAACCAATGGTTGGAGACTCTTGGTGACATGGCTCAGAATCGATCACAATGGCGTCGGTGTATACACTCCCTGTCTTCCCTTAAACTAAGAGACTAAAATCACTTCATTCTTTCTGTCTACGAACTAATTCTTTCTTCCTATACTATATCCTTATTGCAACCTTTGACCTAACCACTCCCATGAATCCGCTGTTCATCTTGCTGTGCTAATGAGGTATGGCAACTTGGACCGATGCACATATGTGCCTGGTCCTACGTTGTGGCTGACTGACTGACTGACTGACCTCGGTGTGTAACATTTTAGAATCAGCTTTTATTAATGATTATACCGTGAAGCTTTAGTGAAACAGTAAGCTGCTTACACTGAAGTGTAGTGGTAGCTTGATCACCACAACTATTCTAAATATTAGATTACAAGTTTGACCACCCGAGAAGTATAGTCGTCCCTTGCACAAAACATTTGATCCAGAGTCAAATGCGCACTTGCATACTACCCGGTAGTCAGCAGAATAGCATGGACGGTCGTCCAAGTTTACGACTCAAAAGTTAGAGGCTAAACCACCAAACCCCTGAGCTTCAAAGCTAAGCCACAAAAGAAACAGATCGATACTACGCAAACAAAACACATGAGGATATTCATACCTACACGCCAATTGCCCCTAAATGCTTTGGTACGGCCAAAGGTGGGGAGAGTTCAGTCTCCTTCACGAAATGCTCCCACATGACCACGGATATACAACCACTTCCATGGAAATCCTACTCACCGCCTTCTCGCGCTATTACTGTTGTTTAAGAAACTGAGAGGGCGAAAAGCGAACGTCCAGCTTGGTGGACCCTTCGTGTCTACCTAGGGGAGTTGGGAAACCTAATTGGGAACCAATAGTGCACATGGGCCCTAATATCCTGTATGAACCAAATATTGGTCACCAGCTACCATGGGGCTGCATCGCCTGATGTTGTTCCACTGCTTTTTGGATCAGACCTTTAGGTTGAAGGCTCTGGGTGCGGCCTCCTAAAAAAACCACCTGCTTCAGTCTGGGCACCGGTGTAGTATCACAGCCTACATACAAATCAAGTGAAATGACAATTACTACTGGAAACATTATTCTTGCTTCAACTAAAATTCAGACAATTCGCATCCACTTTTTTATATACGTCATTTATCTATTCTCTTCTACTTTCACTTTGTGTATCCTTATTTTACAACTTATACAGCAGCTCGCCTATGGTGAAAACCCTGTTATATCTAGACGATCTCAAGTCACTGATTGATCGAAAGTTGAATGCCATCACCGAATACGAATACTGAAACAGTCTTTCTGAAACCACGTATGACATTCAAACTGGCTTCCTTCAACGTTCGCATACTAATGCAGATCGGACAACAGATAGGTTTGGCTATACATTTAAGTAAACTTAATATCGGCGCCTGTTGTCTATCCGGGATCCGTAATTACCAATTCGTTCCCCATCTGTCGCTTTGAAAAGCTTGTTTCACCCACGTTTATCCGGGGACTAAGCGCTAAAGCTGAGGCAGCACTGGTCGACTGGATCCCCAATAACAGTTGGTTATGTACTTTTAGGTTGGAAAGTTCAAGCAAATTGAGAAATCGGTGTCCGAAACGATGTCTTCTAGTCATCTCCGCTTATTTCCCGACAGATTGCAGCCCGGATGTGATCAAGGATGATTTTTACCAGCAATAAACTGTTTTTTTACAGAAAGCGCGTTCAACAGATATTGTGATACTAGTCGGAGACTTGAATGTTCAGGTCGGGCGTCTAGGCACAGAGGGGAGTCGTTTAGGTGGCCGATGAGGACTTGTTGGTGGCAGATCAGGTAACAGGTACCGTCTGCTGCAGACCAGAACCTGTTTCTGGTTAGCACTAACTACAAGCACAGTCATCGCCGATGTGACACCTGGCGTCCTTTCTCTACATCTCTAGCCTGGACTCATTGATCACATCATTACCTGGATAGTGCTCTGTTTATTACTACCAGAAAGAATTCTTTCAGTTAATGAAGTTACGTCCATTTTTTGTTACGAAAGTAAAAGAAGGTTACAGCAAGATCGCCACTGGCTTCTATCCTGAGCCATATCTAATAAAGTCTCTAGCCACTGTGTAGCACCGTCTCTCGGACCCCAGCCAGGGAGTCGTGAAGGACCAACAGAAGACAGTCCTGCACACTATTCTTTCAAAACACGACACCATATCATACAGTGATCACCTCCGCTTTTTCTGACCAGTCCCAGCATTAACAAACAATGCACGACGTGAGATTCTCTGAGACGACATTCGTAAAACATGTTCAAACCATCGAAGTAGATGCAAGATAGTGACACTAATTGAATTATCGTCGCTGTGCCCAAACACACGATGCCAAACCTCTGCATTACTAACATGGTGTTGCCACTGGATATCAGCAATCCTTCGGAAACAATGATCAAACACAGAGAGTTATTTAACATCCTGAACTCGGGGAAACTAGGTTTCACAAGCATTGAGTAGAACTTCTCCCATTGACGCGTTGTAGATCCGACCTTTTACAGCGCTTCGATAGTTGGAGTTCCTTGCGGACTTCCGCCTCGTTTGGTGGATCAGTCGTCACAGGCCATGGAGGGCAGGACAGTCTGATCGATATTGCTGCAGTAGCAAACCAGTTGAACTACTCCTCGAAAAACTCTGCCCATCGTCCAAGACGCCGATAGGTGCTAGTGATTGGCATCCCGTCATCCTCACAGATTGTTTCACTCTAACCAGACTTCTTGGTGCCAGTGGCTCGGGTGAGTTGAAAGACCTTCCGGTAGTTACCAGAAGCAGCTGCTGCTTCCAAATCATTAGCACGCTCCGACTATTAGGCTTCTCGGTCTTCACGCAATTTTACTACGTAACAGTCTTCGTTTGTGGTCAAATTCACGGCCACCCGGAGTAGACCGACAGGCTTCAGTGAGTTGTAAGGAACCAGAAGAAACCCAGTGCTTATAAGTGAGACATTTCACGGAGTCGCAAGCAACTTTACTCGCCATTTTCATGGCGTCATGCAACTGTAATCAATACTCATCTATATTTCTCGGTAGGATGGTAGCTAGCCTTGAACCTAGCTCAGTTTGATATTTAGTTGTAACAGAAGCTGCAACCAATTTGCTGACATCAATCCGTTTAGGACGATGAATTTGCTGGGCATTGAAAAGTAGGGTAAGATTACCGCAAACAAGCACATGATCAGAGTTCAGATAGGTATTTCATTAATTTCTGTTCGTTGTTGTTCTTTTTCTTGTACACACTTTACATTCTCCTCACATTTCCATTGTTATTGTATGGCGTATATGTATTTGGTGCCCCTTTATACCAATTTTTGTGTTCAGATAGAAAGTATACCAATTAGGATTAGCAGATAATTCAGATGAAACCAATCTAAGACTCCACAAACAGTAATAACCAGATTATTGTCCAGGTAATGACCCTTAACCATAAGTTAGCAGGCCTTAGCCAGTGGATCAACTACGCTTTACTAACTAAAGAGCATGTATTACTCTAAACATTAAGTCCTTGGCTGAATTTCAACTATTCAAGTCATGATAATCGAAATGTTTAAACAAGCCCTATCCCTTCCACACAAATAGAAGGCACTTTCCAAATCCTTCCCTGAATTAATGCTCAAAAAGTTAGCAACAAAATGTGGTATATTGGCCAACTACGTGATAACGACTAAACCAGCGGCTCATAATACTGGACTGTCATGAAAATGCTTAAGCAATCAGAAACACTCAAATGGGTAATCAGTGATAAAACTACGACAATAACACGAAAAATGTTAATATAACTGTCCGGCTTATAATGAATATGAAGATACTGTATGTGAAGATATATCACGAAGCGGTAGGAATTGGAAAGACTCGATAGATTGGTAAATGGTATTATGCAAAAACCGAACTTTCTGATGTCACATTGTCTGTTGGACAACCTGTAAAACCTTTATCGATATCCATTAAAAAGAACAAAGTTAGACGTTAAATGTTTTTCAGGTTTGTGAAAAATATACTTCGCTGATGATATATGTGGCGGATATTATTTAAAATGTTTGCATTTGCATAAAAATCACATATGGACAGTGGATATCATGTTTCAGAAAGCCATAAAAACCGAGGGGCAGGAAAACTACTTACAGCTTTATTTGTATCACCAACTACAGCATGTTCAGTGTGACGTGAGCCATCATTCATTAGACGCTCCCATCGAGCCTTCCTTGCAAAGACGGGTAGATTGTGGTGGTCAGCTAGGCTATCCTACAAATTTCGCTCAATGAAAAATGACATACTCTGTTAAACTTGACAGCTGAATTTCTAATAGATTTCTCTGGTTCTTTATGTAAGGGAATGCGTCTCAAGTCATCTTCCCATGATGCAATCTTAAAACCCGGGTAATTATACTACAATGAAATACCTCTTTAGCCAGATCTGCTAGTTTTGACTTTGTCTTCTTTATTTCCATCCTATCTGGAGAACTGTATAAAATCAAGCTGAAGCAAAAACCAAGAATCAAACCTCATTTTTCGTAATCCTTACGGTCCGCCTGCTACACAGAGTTACAATTCGATGCGTTGAAACAAATTGTCATACTGAGAGACGACAGACAAGGAGCTTAAGTAGAGATTACCGTGCACATTTTCAGTTCTTAGAATAATCTTATCACAACATTGTCAAGATAACATATATACCGATGAGGTTTTCAAGGCAGTGGCATGTCACGGCAGGTTACTTCAATACAGTCTTCATTTATGAACCTCATCCCGAAGTATGACTGACTCCGGAAACATCATCTCGAAATTGACTAACCACTATAGGCCTCAGCCGAGAAGACGCACCAATGTTACTAAGCCTTATATATGCAAAAAGATCATTGAGTGGACAATACTTCATATTGCTGAAGTAAATTCTGTTTCACTTTCGAACGGACAGGAAACTAGATGGTCTGTGTTAGTCCTGGTAATGGTGGTCTTTCAGTTGCTTAAATTTTCTTCTAAAATGTCGATAGATCGAGCTCCAATCACATGTTAAGTTAATTAATTCCATTCGTCGACGATTCGATAGGAAAGTCGATAATCAGGTGACAAATAATTTGTTTTGTGGTTGTGGACGTTTATGGGGTGTCCTAGTGAATCTTCTGTTTTGGAAAACCAGATAAGTGAGGGCGAATCAGATACAAATTTACTACTAACTAATCTAAAACTGTGGTAAAGTTGCCTGCCGTTCTTCTATATGACAATGGAAATTAGTTTAGCCAGTCGTGCATCAGACGGAAACCTTACTATCCCGAGATTCAGCTTAGTTGCGGTTCTCCGAACCTTTTCCAACAACTCGCTGTCCCTTGATTAACGAACATTTCTAAGCCAGTGTGTGTCTGGGCAACTGGTAGCTCAGTGTTATTTATGTATGTATCTGTACCTTGGTGACCAAGATGCATCATAATACAATTGGAAGCATTTACTGGAGACTGCCAAGTCACAGACCAGTCACATAATCTCCGTAAGTCAGTTTGAGGTTCTAAACTGTCACTTTCTATATCTTAATATAGTAAGCATATAGCAAAACCGATAATGATAAAAGACTAGGAAGGTCATTTACATACAGGAGGAACAACATTGTCCCCAAAACTGTACCCTGAAACACTCCGCCCATCATCGTTTCCAAGATAGACAACTTGGAGTTCGCCCGTACTCTTTTTGATGCGCAACTAGGAAGTCCTTTGTCCACATTATTAAATTGCCTCCAATCTCGATATTACTTACCTTGCATAAAAGCCGGTTGTAAAGAATTTTGTCAAAAGCCTTGCTGAAACCAATAAAGGCTAGGTCTATAGGCAACGTTTGATCTTTATGAACACACCAACTTTCACTGGTTACTAATAAGTTAATGAAACATGAACAACTTTTGTTAAAACAATGCTGCTTTTCAGAGAGAATCCGGTTTTGGCCGAGATACCTAAACAACTTCCGAATCTTTTCTAAAATTTTAAAGACCACGCTGGTTAGGCTTACGGGTCAATAGTTCCCGGGTTTATACCTCATACTTGTTTTGAAGATAGGAACTGCCACAGTATTCTTCTAGTCTTTTAATGGTCCAACCTGGGCTACAGATAGATTAAAACATGTGCTTAAGAGATTCTCAACGAAATCTACTGATTTCTTTCGTAACCTAGGATGCATTTCACCGGGTCCCATGGATTTGCTCGTATCAACGACACCAAGTTCCTTGATGGTCACAGTATCCAGTGTGTGTGCGGTTGGGTTCGTATGGACTGAAGAGGGTGGCACCTTTTTGTTACGTACATTTCTTGAGTATTTTGAAAGTATATGAGCTGAAGCATAATTGGCCTTGGATATTGATGCATTACTACGGTCTCCCAACAACGCTGAAATGTTTTCTTTTCCCTTAGTCCTTTGTTCTATGTGCCAGTGTGTTTAAGTAATCTATAGATTCACTAACAAGTTGCTCTTTGTGTAACTTCCGAAAGTCGTGGAGGATCGAGGTACAAATATTTCGAGCTTCTCGATATTAAAATTTCGTCAATAAATCACTCTCACATTCTTATTCTCTTCCGGAGAAGGGTGTGAACCTCTTACTGAACCACAATGAGACTATTTCCGACTCCTTAGTGTATTGCAAGGGATGTGCGATGCAGTGACTCCTATATACAAATTTCTGAATACAACCCCAGCCATTACTATGAGGGATTCTGGTTCTGTGATCAACCTACAGAGGATGATGAGTGTATAATATTTTGCATGTTCGCCTTCCAGACATTTGGTCTGACTTGTGATGACTCATCCACGCTATTGGTAACTATTTGGAAACTAAAGACTGGAACTGCGTGGTCACTTTTGCCTAGGAGTGGCACTTAGTCGAGTTTGTGACATCATCCTCATAATGGGTTAACATGAGACCATGTAAGGATGATTCGGAATCCGGGGTGCTTCTTTCACATGTTGCACTAAGGCATATGCGATAACGGCATCAACTGGTCTCTGTTCGAAAGAATTCTCTGACAATTCATTCATCAGATTCATCCAGCCTACCGTAAGTGAATTAAAGTTTCCTAAGATTAAGTATCGATCATTTGATGACTACGTTGTTGCAATAGTCAGTGCTGTTCCACTCATTATGATATTTATTATCTCACTTAGCCAGGATAATCTGAGGGATTTAAGGGAACTGACTTGCTACAATTCATAAATAAAGTCGAGTTAACTGCTGACAAACAATAAACCCTCTAATTTCATAGGTGTCGTAGAATATTTTCTTTATTGCGTTGGTTGTGAAATGATATCATAGATTAAAAAGGGGTGGACACCAAGAAATAAGAAATACCGTTTATAAGCCGGTGGATAAAGACAAGGTTTAATTTAATGCGCCTGATCTACAGAGGTTCTAACTTCAGTTGTTGATATATTTGGTGATAATCCTAGTTATCGGAATACCCCGAAACAGCCTTAGTGAAACTTCTTCGAACACCAGTTTTCATCAAGTCAATACGCCTACAATTACTGTAAACTAGTGTGCTATATTCAATGATTAATATGATAATTTTTGTGTAGTAATGATATCGATTCGATGTTATTGAAATTTATCATTATGAATCCAACGAGCTTTCTTGCTTTGGGTACTTGAAGTGTAATGTGCTTGAAAAAGTCTAAGTTGTTGCTATATTTCAAACCCAAGTCACGTAGTGTTGAGAGGTTTCAATGTATGTTTGTGTACAGCCAAATTTAGGTTAAGGCAGCGGCCAATTTGAATAAACCCACTTTTGTCAACATTCAGTGGCAGATTCCATGAAACAGTCCATTCATATAACTTGTTTATTTATTCTTGAATTACCGCTGAAATATAGCTTCTTTGGTAGGAGAAGGGAATTAATAAACCACTTTTAAGTAAGGAAAGGTTTACCCCATTGAAAGGGTAAACACACGTCATTGATGATAACGAGAAAGAGTAATGGGTCAATCACACTTCTTTGTATAACCCCATTGGTTACATCCACAGGCTTAGAGTAGGCTCCAAACTTCGAGATCAACAAACCGGATTTCCTAACGACCGTGGTGCATTGACCAAATTGAGACACTATGGATCATCTTTTAACAGTCAATTGAACGAGACTGGTCACTATACATAAACTTCCTTGACAATGAGAAAGCATTTGACAGTGTATACAGGAGGATATTATGGGACCTTATTAAACACTATAGTGTGAGTAGCTGAGATCCTAAATGTCATTCGGGATTAATACAACGGACCGCAATGAAAAGTGGTACATGGAGGACAGATGCCAGACGCATTTGAAGTGAGGATCGAAGTCAAGCAAGGATGCTTGATTTCCTTTCTCTTTCTTCTGGTGGTCGACTGGATTATGAAGACCTCCACGGAATACCATGGACAGCTTGGATACAGATAGATTATTTGGACTTCTCAGATGACAAAGCTCTCCTATCCATTACACACCAAAAAATGTAGATGAAGAAAGCTAGTGTAGCAGTAGACTCTGTATTAATAGACCTCAACATACTCAAGAGAAAAAGCAAGATCCTGAAGTACAAACAGACAGCACCAACCCAATCACACTTGATGGAGAGGCTCTTGAAGAGATGAAAACTTTCACGTACCTGGTCAGCATCATCGATGAACAAGGAGGATCTTATGCAGATGTAAAGGCGAGGATTGGCTAAGTAAGGATAGCATTCTTACAGTCGAGGAACGTATGGAACTAAAAACAACTTTCAAATAGTATCAAAGTCAGGATCTTCAATAAGAAGGTCAAGACAGTTCGGCTGTATGGAGCTGAAACTTGGAGAACTACTACAAACGTCATCACAACCTTACTAGTATTTATAAACAACTATCTATACTCAGAAATTCTGTTCTAAACAGTGCTAATGTATCCATCATTTTATCAGTTTTTTAAAAGAATGCAGTGTTGTTTTATTCTGCTAGAATGCATAGATTTGATATCCAAATACAACCCATTTTTCCGTCGAAATCCCATTTAGAATTTTACTGTATTTCATAGGACATCATTGAGAATAAAATGAATGTGGATCCACTAACTAAACCGAGATGTTTGCCACTGAAGGTGCGACAGGTATTTGGAGTTTGACAACGCTTTAACCAGTAACATCTACTATGAATCGTACCCACCTAGTAAAACCAAAAGTTAGAGGCGAGGAGGTTCGATGATATATTTGATAGTCCATCAATATATCGAGAATCGATTGATCTAGACTGGCTGGCTATTGCAATGGAAGTCGAGCATGGCATTCACACCCATGATCTGGTAAGGTTACATGACCGAGTGACTTCACCTAGGTGAGTCCATCAAAACTAATGTGACGGAACAGACACCCAAGGTACTTAAGCTAAAGACTATGTCACCACCTTCGTTCCAACTAATGCCCTTCTGGCAAGACAACATCGAAGCCTGGTTCTGCTACGCAGAAGCCGACCTCTACGAGCACGGCGTGAAAGACACACGTGCACAATTCCTCTCAGTATTCAAGGCACTACCGCGTGAGTTCAATAGGTACGTAACACCTAGCATGTTTACTAGTGATGTTTCTGAACCGTACGAAACCTTAAAGCGTTCTATCCTTAAACGAGGAGACCTAACCGATCGACAAAGGTTAGACCAACTCTTTAATAACATCGACCCACAACACGGTTCTGCGACAGACATGTTGCAAAGAATGAGAGAGGTTATCAGCCAAAGAACCTTTGATGATGGCCTATTCAAACACCTTTTCTTGTCCAAACTTCCACGACAGGTGCAAACGGTTCTGGTCTCGTTTCAGAACAACGCCTGAGACGAACTGGCTGCATCTGCCGATCGTATCTTAGAAATTACGAAATCTTCTGCTACAGAGGTTTTTCCATCAAGGGCAAGCCTCAGACGACTCAGAATGACATAACCGAGTTATGTCATACACTTACACGTTATCTTAATTTTCGTAAGCGATCACACACCCCACGTAGAAGCACTTCCAGTAAGCGATCTGTCTCTAGACCACGAGAGATGGATGATCCCGACTGCTGCTGGTATCATAACCAGTATGGAAAGTCTTTTAGAAATTGCAGAAAACCCTGCAATTTTCCCTTCTCAAAACTGATCGACAAGTGCACACCACGTGAGTCTCGATAGGTGGACTACATTTCGCAGTTTACTTCGGACATCCAACACACTTCTGTAGCAAGCAATGTAGTCGCAGATTCCTTGTCTCGAATAACTTCCTTGAACAGTTCCCTAGGAACCGACCTTCTTAAACTGATCTTCAGCACGAGTTATCGTCAACAACCCTCAAACTACGCATCAAACAGATGGGAACAGGTAGGGAAACCTTACTTTGTGACACATCTACAGGTAGGGATCGCCAAATCGTGACGAAACATTATCGACGCAATGTCTTCAACACATTGCACAAACTTTCTCATCCAGGTGTTCATGCAACTGGTCTACTACGATATTAGTACTGCTCTAATAATAGACCTAATCCTAAACTTGTCGATTTGCCATGATATAACTGCCTAATCTATAAGATCTTACGTGGAAGTCACACCATCGACTACACCAACTTACTGTATCGTATCAATTACCAATACATGATATATAAGAAGGTTAGGTTAGAGAAGGAACAATATATTTAATATGAATAGAGACCACGCCTGCATGGCCGAGCCATGCCACTCGATCAACCCCAGTCCATTCAATTCATTCTGGTTCGCGCCTTCTCCATTGTTGGGTATTTATCCGCGTTAAATATTGAATATCTATTTTCTGAGTAGTCTCGTGTTCAGCTTTGTGGATTGTGCGGTTATTGTTCAATGCCACTACACAACCATCAAGCTTATAGCAGAACGGTTTTGCTGGTCTGGAATGAATAAAGATGTGAGGGAGTGGGCACGCTCCTGTGTAAGCTGCCAAAAATCTAAGGTTATCAGACACAATAAATGTCCCTTAATCTCATTTAAAACTCCCGATGCTCGTTTCGACCATGTTCATCTGGATTTGGTAGGACCTTTACCAGATTCAAATGGATACTCTTATCTCTTAACCTGCGTAGACCGTTTCACTCGATGGCCAGAAGCAGTACCTATCAAGGACATCACTGCTGAAACAGTGGCCCGCACCTTCGTCGAACGATGGGTAGCAAACTTCGGTTGCCCTTCAACCATCACTACAGACCGCGGACGTCAGTTTGAATCTGATCTTTTCCGTCGTCTGACCACACTTTTAGGAATCACTCGATTCCGAACGACCGCCTACCATCCACAAGCAAACGGGTTGGTAGAACGTTTTCACCGACAACTAAAAGCTTCGCTATCAGCTGCAAACGTTTCACAATGGACCGACGCTCTTCCACTCGTCTTACTAGGTATCCGCAATGTAGTGAAAGCTGACATTGGATACACTGCGGCTCAACTCGTTTATGGAACGACACTTCGACTTCCAGGAGAATTCGTGGATCCTTCATCCTCTTCAATGAACATGGATATAGCTTACAAACGCAATGCGTTCAGTTAAACCTGTTTGCACTCGACCGCGATCAACTGTTTTCGTTCAACCTGACTTACGATATAGTACACACGTCTTCTTTCGTCGAGACTCACATCGACGACCTCTCGAATCAGCATACGAAGAACTCTTCAAGGTTGTTCAACGCAAACCCAAGTACTATATAATCGATAGGAACGAAACAAACGATAGCATCAGCATCGATCGCCTCAAGGAAGCGTATTTAGAAGGAATTCCTATCCACGTTGATTTTCCTTCGCTACAATCAAACGACACGGCTCCGACACTTATAATACCACAACCGACAGCCAACACACATAATGATACTTCAGCAGTATCTGAAAATAAACTTAAGACGACGCGTTCTAGAAGAGTAAGATTTCCAAAACATTTGAACGATTATTGCATGTAAGATACTAGATGACATTTTATATCGTCTAGATTTTCTTTTGTACTATATATAATTTTTGAAAAACTCGGTTTTAATATGCTTATATATTTATATTTTTATTTCGAAAAAAAACAAAAAATCCGTATCATAACAATCTTTTTTTTACTCTATTACCTGTGTATGAGTTTACTTTCCATTTTTTCGCCCGCTTTGTGTTTTTACTCGCATACGAGTGTATTTCGACATGCACTTACAAATTTCTTTTCCAGGACAGCTTGAAAAGAAAAGTCTACGATGAAACGAAACTTTCATTCTACTTTTTCTTACTATATTGTACTTCAGGGTCTTTTATATTGAAGAAAGACAACCAGACGCTGCTGAACCTAGCGGGCTATCAGAAGAGTGTTTACCAACGACAAACTCCTTGGGTTTAAACTCCTGGCCCGCCACGTCTTAGGGACACCATTACCTCACTAGGTGGGAGGGCGGTGATCTGTAGCGGTAAATTAGCCCCCAAAATAAATAGATCTATAAGTTTTCGACAATGGATGCTGACCACATTAGTTTTAACGGACTCACCTAGCTGAAGACGCTCGGTCATGCATCTGCACCAGATCACGAGTGTGAACGCCGTGCTCAACAACCCCTGAACTTGCTAGCCAGATTAGATCAGACGATTCTCTATATATTAATAGTATATCAAATATATCATCGAACCTCCTCGCTTCTGTCTTTGATTTTACTTGGTGGGTATGCTTCATAGTAGATGTTACTGATAAAGCGTTGTCAAACTCCGAATACCTGTAGCATCTTTAATACGTTTACAAACGATTCATTCCTTCTTCGCAAGCTGTCAAGCGGAGGTCATAACTAAAAAACCTCATTCATGACGCCTTTATAAGTTTGCCGTTGAGCGACTAGGATCCCTGCATAACTACATAGGTTTCATGAGATTGCACCTGCTCTATTTAAGCCAAAGGCAAATATTTAAAAGTTTGTAAGTGACGAAAAGGTAAATCCCGGTCAATATAATCAAAAGGGTGTTCTTAAGTATATCCGGTTATGTGTTTATGTTACAGGATTCGCTTTCACAAAGTCGTTTGTATTCATAAAACTCTATGTCAGTTCAACTGCTGTCTGCGATTTTAATTGTAATTATTCGAAAATGACTAAACTTGGTATTTTCTATTAGTGGACATGAAAGAGTATTTTAAAATTCACCTAAATCTTCTGACCTTTTTGTACTTTTCAAGGTTCGGTACTTGGCGGTCGTTTTGACTACAGAAATTTCTACCAAGGACAAAGGGCATGGATCGTGCCCCGGCAGCATATGAGACTACATATGAAACTAGGTACGAAACAACAGACGTTTCATCAGTCATCAACGTTGGTTTCGTACGGAGTTTAAGTGGAATATTGAAGCTTTGTCAAGTGAGTTCAATGTAAAGCATGTTAACGAATTCGGTGTATTGAAAAGTATCCTACTTAAGTGAATACCTGAGCAACCTCATAGTTTTTCCATGTAATACATATAAGGGTTTTTAGCTCATGATAGAAGTATCGCGTCAGCGCAATCATGGTTCTATTTCTTTATTTTGTGTTCTTATAACGAAGTTGCTGTGTCCTTTTTTGTACAGATTTGGCCTACTAATTGAATGCTTCACGAAACAGTCATAGATCAACTTACCATTTAGCAGCTGTTGTGACCTATGTATTGTCGTTAGTAACACTGGCTAACACTTGAAATGCATGCCTAATGGCATCTGAACTCATTTAGTTTCACGATGTTCAGGAAATCGATAGATGCCAGTTTCATTCAGCTATCCTCTATGAAATGACCACCCTTCTGGGTTTTTCCTACCTATTTCCAGCTTCAGTCAGTATTTCACATGAAATTTAAAATGTATTCGAACCACCTATGAGTGTTTCGACTTGGTAGGACTCACTGTGTTCAGACATATGTTTTCGGACATTAAGCCTACACACTTTTACCACTAGGTATGGACAGTACTTGAAAAATAACGATCACATTTTTGAATTTGACGGAACCTCTAAACTCTGGAAGGGCAGCATAAAAGGAAACTTTTCTTCCCGTCTTTAAATACACTTTCACTCTCATGACGGAGCTAGCAACATTACAAACTGACACTGAGTTTTCTCATCCACTCATATCTAAACACTGAATAGTTTATTTGCTACTCTACTGATAACAGTAAAAGCGCGTGGTTATATGTAGAGTAACTTGGTTCGACCCTGAAGACTAACCATTAAAGAATACAGCTTCTAGGGAGTCTGACTTAAATCCATATTTTTAGTCTAGAGGCGCGGAAATTTCAATTTGAAAACCTTTGTTGAAATTTGGATAGATTAGTTTGCTCCCAACACTATGTATTTTCATATGTTACATCAATTTTACCAAAGGCAGTTTTTCTGTTTCCCTTACATCAAGTCAACAATTTACTTTTGTTCACGATTGTGTTAATTTATCTTTGCACAGATTCTACTGAGTTGTATTGTACTAATTTGTGTCGCTGCTACTTCATACTGGTCAATACACTCGTCCGGTGGATGGGTAAATTTCGTTGCAGCTACCACTTTGATATGTGCATCAGTTTTCTACATATTTTATCTATTCAATCTTATCAGGAAATTGCCAGGTCCTTGGATTATAATTGTAAGCATATGTTTTTACTGTTTATTTAAATACTGTTCCATTTTTGCAAACAGACATACCCGATAAATAAACTGTTCCTGATTTAGAAGTTGAAAGTTTGATTGTTAAACATTACTACCTAAAATGTGTTTTAGACTTCACTATATATTTGACGGTGTGGGCCACTGATATTTTGTCTATAACTTCAGAACTTACAACTTGTTTAGATCACCATTGGAAATTTTTAACTTTGGTCCCTTGTTAGTGTCAATTCTCATCAGTTTAAAGCTGCTGTTTATCGGTACTACAATTACATCCACCGGTTAACATCGTAAACATATTGCCAGGTATACTTTAATTTCTCACAATCATTACCTTACGGATGTTTATTGTCTTCTTGGTAATTATTTCACAGTATGCAATGACAAACCATTTTTACCACTCTTAGGTTCAGTATGTTATCTCTTTTATTAATTTAGCTAGCTAAAGTTTATGTACTCTCAAACACAATGGTCAACTATATTACTGGGCTACCTAACTTGAAGTAGGTGTAGTGAAGTTCAAATCTGCTCACCAGTAATTGAAAATCTAGTGTTTCATTTACGGAGTGATGGATCCACAAATATCTGAGATCGTAGCTCTGTTTCACCATATAAATAGAAAAGTTAGTGATAGCGAATTGAACAAATAGACACCGCTTGAGTTTAACACTTTTATCGATTACTTTAAAATCCTATGTCCTTGTTTAAATATCTAAACTATCATTAATCACTTTCGTACTTGGCTCGTTAGATGCTTCTAACGCTCTGGAAAATTCTAATTCTTGATAGGACCAACAACTTAATACATATAACTGATATCCGGTCTCACATCATTTCCCAACTTTCATGATACTGAGTTTGTAGCATACTACTTCTATTCATACAAAAGAATATTCCTATTATAATCTTTTTTTCTTGATTTTCTGAAGATTTGTTATGTGGAAAGTTATTTTCGGAGAAAAATGTACATTATAGTGTGCAAAAGTATATTGTAGTAAAATCTATACCATTTCAGTACATACTGCTCTCACTTTTGCTTTCCCTTTGTACATGCATGAAACGCTGACACAATAAATACTATAAAAGTTCCAGTTCTTAATAAGTTATAGAGAATTACATTCTGAATAATCACTATCAAAATATATAGAATAAATATGTAATTTAAGCCAGAACATTTCATATAATTGTGGCACATTGATAATTATACCAGTTAATTTATATTTTTTAATTAAATATCGAGAAAGTCATTTATCAGTTTTTCTGATCTTATTGATAAACTCCACACTTATATACTACGGTTTGGAAAATATGATATGTAAACTTGAAAGAAAAAAATGCAGCAGTCCTTAAACGCATAACTCATTAATACATATGTCTAGAACACTAAACAATATACTAGCTGAATTACTGGTGGCAAAATATAAGTAAGAAGCTAAGATAAGAACTATTAGGTATTATTCTTTAGTGATATAATGTACTGAAGTATTTCCAGCGATAAATTATTTCAACCTACTTAGTATTTCAGTTTCTGTTGCATTGATT